TTATCTCAAGTCCCCAAATGAAGCTAATTTGGGTTCTCCCCAAAAACAGGGGTCAAAACAGCAATTTCAGGCCAAACATGGTCAAACCCCGTGTCAACCGGTCGAACGGTGACAGAGTAGTGCAACACTACCGGTCAACCGGTAGTGTGCACACCGGTCGACCGGACCGGTCGACCGCATTGGTTGACCGGTTTTCATGTGATCCGGTCGACCGCACAGGTCGACCGGTGGAATCAACTGCGCGAGAGAAGCTCGCATAAATCAGCCTAAAACCTGCAAATCCAGTCCCAAATCGAGATATTTCAAAGGAAAACCACTAGATCTGGGTTCTAGGTCCTAAAACAAGTCCAAAGAACCCAAGATCTCCAATTTCTACTTTAGTTTTACTCAAAAACCATCAAAATCCGGTTTGAACAAAAAAATAAGTTTTGAAATCTATAAACTTGAGTTCAAGAGAGGTTCTTTCAGTAATCTTACCACGAATCCTTCTCTTGATGTTGAAAACACTTTGAAACTCGTCTTTGGCTCAAAATCCGTTTGATTTGGGACACAAAACGGGAGTGAGGGAGAAAGAGAGTGAGCGGGAGAGTGAGAGTGAAGGAGAGAGAGAGAGTGCACAGAAAAGGAAAGAGAAAGGAAAGGAAAAAGGAAGGAAAAAGAAAAAAGAAAGGAAAAAGAAAAGAAAAGGAAAAAGAAAAGAAAATGACATGTGTACAATGTTTTAAAAGAACAGTCCAGAAATGCGCCCATACACACTTCTGGTTTAAAATAAATTATTAAGAATAATTTAAATACCTTGAAACTATTTAAACTCACTCGTGTAAAAAATATTTATTAATTAAACTCAATTAATAATCCAAATTATGCACACTAATAATCTCAATTACCTTAATTCTTCGGGGTGTTACAATAACCTTGTTTTTTTTTAGCAGACATGTTATTAAGGGGTGAATTCTTTTCTTTCTGCAAACATGTCGATTTATTCAATCGTCGAGGCTCTCCAAAATGTAAGTGTCGGGACGTAGCATTTTCCTTATGCGGTAGGGCCCTTCCCAAGTTGGGCCCAGTGGACCAGTATTCTTGGGTTTCGTGCTTTGCGTTACCCTTTTCAACACTAGGTCCCCTGGGACGAACCTTCTCTGTCGAACTTTCTTGTTGTAGTATCGCGTCGTTCTTTGCTGATAGGCGGCGAGACGCAGTTGGGAGTCCAGCCTTTTTTCTTCCAACAAGTCGAGTTCTCCGTTCATGCCTTCCGCGTTGTCATCATCGTTATGGACGACGGTTCTTACAGTCGGCGTTTCGATTTCTATAGGGAGCACTGCTTCGACGCCATATGCCATAGAGAAGGGTGTCTCACCCGTAGTGGTTCAGCTCGTCGTTCAGTATGCCCATAAGACCTTGGGAAGTTCCTCGGCCCATCTCCCCTTCAGATTGTCAAGTCTCTTTTTAAGGGTATGCTTTATTGACCGCCTCGACTTGTCCATTTGATTATGGATGAATTGGCGCCGAGAAGTATTTCTGGATGCCTAAGCTATCGCAGAATCGGCGTGTTGAGGAGTTGTCGAATTGCTTTCTGTTGTCGGATATTATTGAGTGTGGAACCCCGAACCTGCATACGATGTGGTCCCACATGAATTTGGTGCAGACCGCTTCCGTGGTCGCAGTTAGAGCCTTTGCCTCTGCCCACTTCGTGTAGTAGTCCACCGTAACGATTGCAAACTTAAATCCTCCGGGTGCAAGATGTAGCGGCCCGATCAGGTCAACCCCCCATTTGGCCAAGGGCCAAGGGCTGAGAATGGAAGTTAAATTTTCTGGGGGCACTCTAGGAATTGTGGCATACCTTTGGCATTTACCACAGCGCCGGGCGTATTGGAAAGTGTCCTTTTTTAGCGTGGGCCAGTAGTATCCTTGCCTTAAAACCTTTAGAGCCAGAGACTGCCCCCCAATGTGGTTACCGCAGACTCCCTCATGGATTTTATGGAGGACCTTCTGGGCTTCGGCATCATCCAAGCACCGCTGTAGAGGGGTTGAGTAGCCTCGCCGGTAGAGCAAGCCGTCGTACAACAAGTACCTAGCAGCTCTATACCGAATCCGTCTGGCTTCGTCTTTATCGTTCGGCAGTTGTGCATCCATTACGTAGTGGATGAGTGGAGTCATCCAATTTTCACTTACTTGGATGATTAATGCCTTAACCTTTTCTTCGATAGTTGGTTGCTCTAATTCTTCGATAGGAACGACCCCTAACGTGTCGGATTCTCCGGAAGATGCTAGCTTAGCAAGAGCGTCGGTGTTTGCATTTTTGGCTCGCGGTATTTGGAGTATCTCGTAGTTTTTGAACTTAACAAGTTCTTCTTTTACCTTTCTCAAGTATGCTCCCATCTTCTCGCCGCACGCTTGGTATTCTTCTTTTACTTGCGCAACGACCAGTTGAGAATCACTGAAGATGCTGAGCCTTTCGATCTTCAGGTGGCTGGCTAACCGTAGTCCGGCAATTAATGCTTCATATTCTGCCTCATTATTCGACGCCTTGAATTTAAATCGAACCGCCAGGGTAACCTTGTGGCCTTCGGGGCTGATTAATAAGACGCCGGCTCCTGACCCATTTTCGCTCAACGCCCCATCCACGTAGAGCTTCCATTTTGTAACCTCGACCTCTTCAAATGCGGCGGGAGCTGGCCTATGAGAGAACTCAGCCAGAAAATTGATGAGTGCTTGGCCCTTGATCGCAGTTCTTGGCACATATTTTATGTCAAACTTGCTTAATTCTACCGACCACTTGAGGAGTCGACCGGAAGTTTCGGGCTTTTGTAGAGCCTGCCTTAGCGGGTGGTTGGTAAGAACCCGTATTGTGTGAGACTGGAAATAGTACCGAAGCTTCCTTGAAGCTACCATCAGGGCGAGGACTAGGCACTCCATTTCACTGTATCTTGACTCGGCGTCGAGGAGCCTTTTGCTCATGTAGTAGATCGGCAACTGCACCCTTTCTTCTTCTCTAACTAATACGGAGCTTACGGCGTGTTGGGACACGGAGAGGTATAGACTACGCTCCTCGTCGACGTTTGGTTTTGACAAAATTGGGGGCTTGCCCAAATGCTCCTTCAATTTCTGGAAGGCCTCTTCACATTGGGGTGTCCACTCGAAGCATTTGTTCCCTTTCAAAGCGTCGAAGAAGGGGACGCATTTGTCAGTCACCTTTGATACGAACCTATTTAGGACGGCGACACATTCTGTTAATCTTTGCACTTCCTTTGGCATTGTCGGGGACCGCATGTCCTGTAGGGCTTTCATTTTCTCGGGGTTAGCTTCAATCCCACGATTGCTGACCATAAAGCCGAGGAATTTCCCCGACCAACTCCAAAGGCACATTTCTGGGGATTGAGCTTCATGTGGTATTTTCTCAGTACACCAAACATTTCCCCCAGATGATTGACGTGATGGCTGGCCCTGGAACTTTTTACAAGCATGTTGTCGACATAGACCTCTATTATTTTACCGAGCTATTCAGCGAACATTTTATTCACAAGCCTCTGATAGGTCGCCCCTGCATTTTTAGGCCGAAGGGCAACCTTGTAGCAGTAGAGGCCTCTATCGGTTATGAAGGATGTGTGCTCCTCGTCGACTGGATGCTTGGGGATCTGGTTGTATCCGGAGTAGGCATCCATAAAGCTCAGCATCTCGTGTCCCGCCGTCTATCCGAGGGAGTGGAAAGCCAACCTTTAGGCAGGCTTTGTTGAGGTCGCTGAAGCCACCGCATGTCCTCCAATTCCCATTGGGTTTGATCACTAGAACGGGGTTTGATATCCAATGCGGGTAATTGCCCTCCCGGATGAACCCATTGTTGATCAACTTGTCGACCTCTTCTTTCAGCGCTTCATACCTCTCGGGGTTCATCGGTCGACGTTTCTGGTGCTTGGGCAGATATGAGGGGTCGACGTTTAGGGAATGACATATCACCTCGACATCGATCTCTTCCATGTCGAAATGATTCCAGGTGAAGACATCTAGGTTCTTCCTGAGGAAGTTTTCGATCTCACCCTTAAATGATGGGACTAAGCCCGAGCCCACTTTTAGCACTTTGGTGGACTCGGCTTCATCAACTTGGATTTCCACCAACTGCTCGACGGGTTGAGACCATGTGACTTCCTCTTGGATCCTGGGGTCAATGTCCTCGACGAGGCCCTGGTGAACCATCATTGCCTCTTGTCTCCCTGGCTGGTCGTATCCGCGTAGGGCGTCAGAGTACGTAACTCTAGCTTCATACTGGTTGCTCTTTATTTCCCCTACGCCATTTGGGGTGGGGAACTTGACTTTTTGGTGGTAGACGGAGGTTATTGCCCTCAATGCCTGAAGGGTTGGTCTCCCGATCACCGCGTTATACTGGGAGCCTCCTTTTATGACCATGAAGTTGGCCATTATAGTTGCCTGCCGAGGTTTTTTCTCCGGCGGTTATGGGTAGCCGGATAGTCCCTTGCGAGATGACGGAGTCCCTAGTGAAACCATATAGCGGTCGGGAGGTTTTTTCCAATTGTTCCTTTTGGATCCCTATTTTCTCCAAGCAGTCGGAGTATAGGAGGTCCACCGAGCTCCCATTGTCCAATAGGATCCTGCACACGGTGTGGTTTCCTATCATGGCTTCCACCACCAAGGCATCGTTATGGGGGAAGTGAACCCCACTGGCGTCATCCTCGTTAAAGGCCACGTCGGTGTGGCTGTACCTTGGGGTTTTTTTACAGCGGAGACGCTCCAGAACCGCTCCTGATAAACCCCTTGGCCTCGTGGGCATAATCCTTCTGAGACCTCCTTGAGTCTCCTCCTATATAAGGACCGCTGAGGACAGTCCGTATGACGCCGACAGGTTCTCGGTCTTCTGAGCGCTGGTTATCCTCTCGGTGCCGACCGTCATTTTGCCCTCTGCGGCCGTCATTTCGGGGTCTCGGCTCGGCCCTGAACTCTTGTAATCTCCCCTCGCGGATCACTCTTTCGATCTCATCTTTGAGGTCGGCGCAATCATTGGTTTGGTGTCCGACATCGCCGTGGAACCTACAGAATTTCTTCTGGTTCCTTTGGCTGGGGTCTGACTTCATTGGTTCCGGTCGGCGTAGCAAGTTTCCACGGCCGACCTGATTGAAGACTTCCTTGACTCCTATCGTTAGCTCGTGGTAGGAATCGTATTTTTGGAACAGTCGAGGCTTACGGGTATCCTCTTGCCTTGGCTTCTTGGCTTCTAGAGCGCTCATCATTACGGCGGGCTGCTTGTCTCCGTTTCTTCCGCCTCGACGCTTCTTCCCATCCTGTTTCGCAAGCGTCGACCCTTGTTCGGTTCCTTTATTCTTGTTGGTCCGGTGCTCGGGGTCATTTGCGTCCGCCTCTTCAACGTTGATGTACCCCTGTGCTCTCGCTAAAAACTCCCTGTAGCTGGACGGGGGTTTCTGGTTTAGCTCTCTTTTGAATAGGGTAATTTTCTTCATGCTAGATAAGACCCCCATCAAGGCCTCTCTATCTGTTATGTCCATCGTGGCGGTGACAGCTTCCCCATACCTCGCGAGCCATTCCCTTAGTGACTCGTTCGGCTTCTGGTATATCGTCGTCAGATTTTGCTTTGGGGGGAAGAAGTTTTTAACCCTATGAATTGGAGGGAAAATGCGTCCTTCAGCTCGTCCCAGCTTGAGATGGAGTTTGGCCTCAACGTCCGAAACCATCTTCGGGCAGAATCCGTCAAATGGTTTTGAAAGGCTCGGCACATGATCTCCTCGGTGTAACCGTGCAAGAGCATGTGCCCCGTGTACATTTCCAAATGGTCATCGGGATCTCCTCGCCCGTCATACGGTGGGATTGACGGCGACCTGTATTTATCGGGGAGAGGGGGCGTCATTATTTCTTCGGTAAATGAATGGTCATGTGTGCGGCTGGGCGTGATATCAACGTTTACCACCTCAGCCACACGACCTATATTCTTTTTTAGGCCCGCCACGTCCCCTGTCAGTTTCTACTCCAGGCTGGCCATACGTTCCATGATGGTGCACGGTGGTCGGCGGTCGGCGCGAAGAAGAATGAGCTGTGAAGAAGAACGAGGCACAGCGGTCGGCGAAAGAGGCGCGAAAGAATGAGAAGATTTCATAGAGGGAAAGGTTATGTTTTCAGTCTCTGGTATTTGGGCTTTTGGGGCTGGCGGGGCCATATCAATTAGGGTTAAAAAACCCACTGAAAATCCTATACAAGCAAGGCGTGCGCCTCACTAACCGCCTGAGGCGCCCCTCAAAGGCGAGCACTCAAGTGCTTGAGGTGCACGCCTCAACTCCTACTCTGAGGCGTAGGAGTGGAGGCACTTTTCTAGCGCCTCGCGACGAGGTGCGCCTCAAGGCGCATGCCTCAAGCGCTATTTAAAACACTGGCTCAATTACTCATCAAAATTAGAGTGAAAGCCCTCTATTTTGGAAGCTTGGACAACATCTCTCATAGAGGAAGAGAGGGAGAACTGAAAGAGAGAGAGTGAGAGAGACAGCGAACGTGAGAGAATGAGAGGGAGGGAAAGGGAAGGAAAGATGATAAAAATAATTAGAAGTGAGATGTTTAGATCTTAAAATTAGATTTAAACCATTTTGTAACATTATTAAAATGTCATTTCAAATGTAAAATCAGAGTTGAACCACTATGCAACATTATTAAAAAGTCCTCTTAAATGTATTTGTTATAAGAAATTCTAATAAATAAGATTTTAAACTCAAAATTATTAACACTCCCGCTACATAATAGATAAAATAAGTACGAAAATTTAACATCAGTTTTTTTTTTTTTTTTTTATAAAATTTAGAATATTTAGGATAAAATTTTAAATATATAAAAGTCGAGGGGTATCATAAGCCTAAATCTGAGCTCTGTAAATGCCTCAAAAATAATTTTCAAGAAATTAAAATTCAGGTTGTTCCAGAACCTGTGCAGATCCAAGAATTCAACTCAAACCCTTTGAATGAGGTAACAATTTCTGACCATCCTTTACAAGATAATTCTGAATTTGTGAATAATGATGATCAGAATCTTTTGATTGCCATTAGGAGAGGAACTAGTGAGTGTACAAATCGACCTTTATATCCTCTTGCACATTTCTTATCCTTTAACAGTTTCTCACCATCTCATAGAGCCTTCCTTGTAAGCCTAAATGCCATCACTATTCCAACCACCTTGTCCGAGGCTTTATCTAATGAAAAATGGAAACAAGCTATGAATGTGGAAATGGAGGTGTTGGAGAAGAACAAAACTTAGGAGTTGGTGAAGTTGCCGGAAAGAAAGAGACCAGTGGGTTGTAAATGGGTGTATACTGTGAAGTATAGAGCATATGGGTCGATTGAGAGGTACAAGGAGCAATTAGTAGCAAAGGGGTATACTCAAACCCATCAAAAATAGAGTGAAAGTCCTCTATTTTGGAAGCTTGGACAGCACCTTTCATGGAGGAAGAGAGGGAGAACCGAAAGAGAGAGAGTGTATGAGGGAGAGAGAGGGGACGTGAGAGAGTGAGAAGGGGAGAGAGAGAGTTAACATGAGAGAGAGGGAAGGAGAGATGATAAAAATAATTAGAAGTGAGATGTTTGGATCTTAAAATCAGATTTGAACCATGATGCAACATTATTAAAATGTCCTCTCAAATGTAAAATCAGATTTGAACCATTGTGCAACATTATTAAAATGTCCTCTCAAATGTATTTATTATAAAAAAGTCTAATAAGTAAGATTTTGAACTCAAAATTGTCTTTTACAAACACTCCTGCCACATAATACATAAAATAAGTATGAAAATGTAACATGGGCTATTTTTTATTTTTTATAAAGTTTAGAATATTTAGGATAAAATTATAAATATGTAAAAGTTGAGAGGTATCATATGCCCAAATCTGAGCTCTCTAATTGTTGGGAATGGTGTCCTAGAAGCATAAGATGTAATAGGATATTTATTATTTATTTAATAAAAGAGTTTATTCATCATTTTTATGTGTATATATTTGTGAATATTTTATGAATATCAATGAAAATTCCATGATTATTTATGTGACCTTAAACATTGTATATAAGTGTTATATACGAGAGGAAAATAATCAAAAATATTGTTCATAATGAATTTAATTAAAGTTCAAAATCATTCATTAAAACATTATTAATGCATGTCATTCCCATTTAGAATGGAACGGTGTTATCCGCACTGTTAATATGGTGAGATATTGAATGAGTGTATTTCGCATAATGAGATTATGTGGAACAAGGACACAGACACAATATGAATTTCTAATAATTCCGTTAAGTATAGAAATTCTAATTGAGTCTACCGATGGTCATA